CACTTTTAAAGCCCAAATAAAAGCCTACTGTAGGCTAATCTAGTTTGTATGCATTTTAAAACATTCACAAATGTTGTAAACCAAATCAGGTTTCTATGTATCCAAGATCAGCCACTAAGTACTTCAAATAGAAAGCCTGTCACTTGTAGGTAGCCAAATATTTACAGAGTGTGTCTTGAATAAGGAATTAGATGCTCTGCTCAGCCCTGCCAAATTATTTAATGATCTTTTTCACTTATTAAGATAGATGTCTAATCTACCGAAACCTTAAAAACACACCCAGGGCCTGGACACTGGCAGCCAAACACATCAGAGTGCTTGTTAGAAATTACAGTTGCTTTGTTGAGATAGCCAGCAACATCCCACTGACCTGCAATGTTGAAAGAAGAAAGGTTTACTGGAAAAAAATCCAACCTCTGTCAAAACCAAACATTAAACACCATCGTGGTCTTTTTTTTTTTTTAGTTTACTGCAAAGGTGAAGGTTGGGCTGGGAAGATGAGAGCTGCATGGGTGGGTCACTGCAGAAATGCCTCTTCCCCTCCCGCCCCCTCCGCAGCTTTTCCGATGGGTGGCCAATGAAAGCTTATCCCCTGTTTTAATTTTATTTCCCACCCCCACCCCCCCCCATTAAATCTGCACAAGTGTTAACTTTTCAAAGACTCTGAGATTCAAAGTGCTGTATCCAACACAGCCCTTTTTTCTTCTGCCTTTGATTTTTATGCACATTTCAAGCTGGTCAGAGAGTACATGTGGGTTTTGCAAGGGATTTTGTTTAGACTTGGTGGTAGGGTTTTAGCTTTCATGCTGCCAGCTTTCCCAGGATTATTGTCTATTAATTGCCTCTTAATACAGGTGCTAACTAAGGAAAGGAATATTTTTACCTTCATCAAGTTTGGAAATCTAGCATCGGTTTTATTAAATGGAAAGACAAATAAATTTAAACCCTGCACTGAGATATCTTAGCGTAGGACACCAGCGGTTAGAGGTCACCAAGTCACTTGGACTTCCTCCCAACAAAAGCAACATCATTTTTCAGTGTCCAGCCTCACAGTGTCCTGTGGTGCCTCACACAATTCGTTAGTGTCCACACCTGCTCTGTGCTGCTCGGAGTGGGGCCGAGCCACTTTCCACCCCATGGGCCCCATGGCAAAACTCCTGTGGGCTTGGATGGGGCAGGATCAGCCCCCAAGAGATTTCTATTATGCTCATGGTTTGGAGCCCTGTTTGATCTCCTACAGCATAGTTAGATAAAAGCGTGTGGTTGGAATTTCCTTGTTCTGTTATTAAAGCAAAAAAATCCCCTTTATATAAGGAAAAAACCCCTTTCCTTCACCTTGTAAAGGATGTTACAGTTCAGAAGGTAATCTCAGCTCCATTTACCTTTTTTGCATTGGAATAAGCAAATCCCTTTGTTCTGTGCTTTAGCTTCCTCTATCTGTGAGATGGGGATAACTACTTCTCTGGTTGCACAGTCCTATATGGATGCACCAGGGTTGCCTCCATGCCTTAGAGTATGGTTCACAGGCTGCTGTGTAATTTCTCAGCATGGAGATAACAGTATTAAGGAGCATGTGAGGCCCTTCTAAAGTGTTACTAAAGATTTTTGCAGTAGGTCTGTACACGTAGGTGAGTCGTAGCCACAGACAGAATGGCTGAATAGGACCATTTTTGGAGAAGAGTGACCATCCCCAAAATCAGTGTAATTTTTTGCCTGCCACGTATGTCTATCACTCACTTCAGTGCAAGTCACCATTCGTTACCATTTTCTGAAATGTACCTCTTGTATTCTCAATAGTTTTGTACCGTGGGTAGGGATGGGAAGTGGTGGAGGTTGAAAACTTAGCACCTTTACGGGGTTCAGCTGTTGAATTTGTAGATGCATCCCTGGCTGCAGTGATTTGTATAATCTGAGTTTCCTATTAAAACACTGAATTGGAGAGGTAGACTGGGGCAGAAGAGCTGATGAGGCCAGGTGTACCATCTTCATGGTACAACCCTATGCTGCTTGCCTTCCATTTCCAAGAGCGTGTGGGCTGTAGCCCCACTTCTGGATACCTTTGCCTCCAGCAGATCTCCTAGTGTGAATAATGTCTCTGTGGTGTTTTGCTGAGGGATCCCAAAGGCATCTCTCTCAGCATTTAATTTTCTGTCTTCTTCCAGACTTCCCTCTCTAGTGTTTTTCTGCAAAACCCATTCTCTGGTTGCCTTTTGGCACCGCTACAGGCTTCTCCGTGCTGGAACCCCCTTGCCAAAAAAAATGTGGGTGGTGACCTAGTCACTTAGACAGTCCGTCCTCCAAGAAATAACCTTGTGGAAGGAGAGCCATTTTGAGCATGATTTACCATTTGCCATGGGCCCGGGGTCTTCTCTTCCTTGGGTAATTACGGCTGAAAGAGCAGCCTCTCACCCAGCCCTCAAAATCAAAGGCATGCTATGTCTTCTAAGTAATATCCGTTCAGCTATGGAAAGTATGTTTATGTTTCTCATGTTTAAAAAAAAAAAAGGGGGGGGGGAAGGGGAAAAAAAAAGGGAATCTGAGGTTACTGTTTTGCTGGAAAAATGTCAAGACTTGATTGGCAATATCCCGCTAAACCACAAGTTTGTAGGAGAGAAAACAAAACCATTGGATTTTCTAAACTATGCCTATGCGCACTTTAAGAAAATGTATACCATATAGGTCAGTTATGCTCTTATTATAGCTGTGGCAAGCGTACATATAATTGAAACGTGGAAATACTACCCCATGCTGTTCAATGAATGAAGGGAAAACAAATCTTTATTATTCCTGGGTTCACATAATATATAGGAACGCTATTGTCTGTCTTTTTTTTTTTTTTAAAGCCAGTTTTAGCTTTCAGATGTATTTTATTGTCTGTGGGAACATGTGTTTTACAGACCTGTCATGTGAAAACTATTAACAAGAGGAACTGGAGAAATAACAATAAGCCACGTAACTGTGGCATGTGTACTCCCTGAGTTCAACTGTTATGCCGCTGCTTCAAGTGCATGTGAAATTGGATCGCGCCGAGCGACATTAGCTCTTCTCCTGCAATTTTTCATTGGGAAACTTAAGGATTTTTTAAGTGGCCTATTAATATCAGATTGCTGGCATCAGAGGCACGTTTTGGGGCCAAGCTGGCTAGGCATCAAAACAGTTAAATAGTGGAATGAAGATCAACTGGATTCACACGAGATGTCCGATTTTTATTTACCAAATCTTAGCTGGGCAGGCGCTTCTGAAACCTTTCCTTGCTGATTCACACATGTGGTGGAAACTGTCCTGCCCTGCCAAGCACCACGGGGCCCAGTGCTTGCAATTAACCTGTTTCCAGAGTTTTTAGAAAGGATCTGAAAGGGGTCCTGAGCGGTGGCCCTGGCCGCTCTTGGGTACCTGAGAGGCTTCAGGTTTGTGTGTGGTTGTCCCTGCTCACAGATGATGGAAACTTTCCTTTTTCTTAAGATTAACAAAACCCCCTAATAATCCTGGATTAGGCAAACCTATTAACATATAGAAAAAGGAGCCAAAATGGATTGCACAAAGTGAAATACAGAAAGTGGTTCACGTGGAGATGGAGAACATTACTTTGACACTTTTTAACTCCCTGGATGGTACCTTTGCTAATCACATTTAGCAGATTGTGATCACTAAAAATGTACCGTGCACAAATTTCGGTCAAACCCAACAGCACTTTATTTTTTATTTTATTTTTTAATTTTAGAAGGAAAAGCCCTCTGATGTCTTAGACTTCTCGCTGTGTAAACAAACCCACAGATACTTAAGCCAAGTTAGTGGTTGACAAATATTCCCTAGTGCTTTCTGTAGGATCTGGGTGTGAGTCCTGTTTTCTTGGCCCAAGGACAGTTTGAACCGCTGTGCATTTGTTTTCCCCTTACCTGGGTTTCGCTCTGCAAGTGGGAGGAGAGTTTCCTGTACCTTGTTGTTTGTGATTTACTCTGAACATGGGTTTCAGGGGATTTGGGGCTTGTTTTGGTGGGGGTGTACCGCTCGTCTTGGTGATGGGCTTAATAGCAAAGATGGATGGGGAAACTGAGGTGAAGGGAAGGAGGGTGCCCTGCTCAAGGTAACATAGTGGCTGGGAAATACCCCAGGGCTCCTTCCAGGTTTGAGGCAATGCTGTATTTCTCTGAAAGACTTAGAAGAATACGGAGTTACAGATGTGCAGCAATTTAGAGGTGTCCCCTCCATAGTGTGTGTCCTAACCCATCGCCCCATGTTTTTGAGCACATCTGCTCCATGCCTGGTGTAAAGGTCCAGCCAAGCTGTGTAGACACAGGTCTCTTGCACAGAGGGTTCACAAACCGTGTTTAAAAGCAGATTTCATGTGGCTTTAATGTGATTGAAGGTGAATGGTCTCTGATGGGAGTTCAGCAGCTCTTGTGGACGGACTGGCTGGGTGCGTACTCAGGTTCCCCTTGCATGGATGGGTCAAGGATGGGTGTCCCACAGCTGCTCAAAGCACATAGTCTTATGACATTAGTACGTACAAACATACGTATACCCTGTAAATACAAAGAGGAGGGAGCCAAGGAAGGCTTCAAAGGCATAAAAGTAATGGGGATGGAGTGTAGCTGGGCTGACCAGATAGGAGAAGCTGAGCTGATAAATCCTCCAGTGTTTGTTTGCACAGCTCTGGGCTGCCCTGCTGTGGGGCGCTCAGCAGAGCACTGGGCCCTCCCCAGAGAAAAGTGCCGGATTTGTTTTCATGGCTTTTTGCAGAGGGATTGCTTTAGGGGTCCGTTCCTGTAAGTTAATATTTGCAATGCACAAGGCTTAACTGAAACCAGGCAGTGCAGACATCTGATAACCATAACAGAGGAGATGCTTTTTCCCTGCAAGAGTGACTTGGAAAAACAAATCCCAATGCTATTCCCTTTGGAGAGATAGCAATATGAAAAGAAAAGTATCAGGAACGGTGCTGCGTGGTTTGCAAGGGTTTTTCTAGTTGGGTCTTTTTTTTTTTTTTTTTTTTTTGTGAGTTGCTTGTGTTTGCCTGTATTGCTGATGGGTTTGGTTATTGTCTCCCCTTCTTTCTAGCCGGGTTGCCCTTCCTCATCATTGAAACAAGCACAATCCAGCCCTACCAGCGGGGCTTCTACTGCGACGATGACAGCATCAGGTACCCGGTGAAGATGATGGAAACTATCAACGACGCAGTGCTGTGTGCTGCAGGCATCCTCATCGCCATCCTCGCTGTAAGTACCACCTCTGAAACCTCCTCTCCTATCCCTTGGGCATCCTCGATGGCTTTTTGTCACCTCTTTAGATGATGGCACTAATGTCCCGTTGGCGTTGGGGGTTTAACACAGTCTTGCCGGTGTGTCCGTGCTACCTACTGAGGTGCACATCTCCTCTGCAATTATCTGACTTCCGCGTGAGTGTGGAGCAGTAAACATTTGCAAATGAAAGCTTGTAATAGGAGGAATGAGATTACTCTTGAAGCCCGTGAACAGGCCCAAAGCTGTTTGGGCAAGTCTGTGAGCTCCACAAGAGCTTTTTCACCCTCCGGTAGGAGTTCAGAGTAGAAGCAAAAAGACTTGAGTGTCAATAAGGATTTGGCGTGGTTTGTCCCTATTCAAATAACTCTTGGTATTTGCCTATTTTATAAGGTTTTAAAAAATACTGAGGTGCACATCTCCTCTGCAATTATCTGACTTCCGCGTGAGTGTGGAGCAGTAAACATTTGCAAATGAAAGCTTGTAATAGGAGGAATGAGATTACTCTTGAAGCCCGTGAACAGGCCCAAAGCTGTTTGGGCAAGTCTGTGAGCTCCACAAGAGCTTTTTCACCCTCCGGTAGGAGTTCAGAGTAGAAGCAAAAAGACTTGAGTGTCAATAAGGATTTGGCGTGGTTTGTCCCTATTCAAATAACTCTTGGTATTTGCCTATTTTATAAGGTTTAAAAAAAAAAAAAGATACATCTTTTCAGCTAACCAGTGCCTGGAAAAGTTTCACAGGTTAGTATTAGAATTTTAAGAGATTGTATATTACAGCCATATTAAAAACACAATTAAAACCTTCCACGGGGAGCGTATTCCCAGAGTCCTCACTGTAAAAAGTAGTTAATGCACCACCTTCCCAATGCCTCCTCCTTTCTCTTTTCCTCCCAGGTTTCCTAGAGCTGTGCTAGGAAACGACTGCATGGTGAGAGCTTTATATGTCAGCCAAAAAGCTGAATTCAACCCATGGAGCTGAGCCTCCTTGTGGTGTGTCTGGTGCTGGGGCAGAAGGCAAGAGCTGTCTCCTGGTTGTTGGTTAAACGCTTCCAGCTGAAGATGAAATTCTCCTATGAAGATTACCTATGTTTTCCTTCTCAGCTGCTGCCAGCACAGCTCAGGTGCTTTCCCAGAGGCACTGCCTTCCTCTTGGCCCTTCAACTGGGGAGGGATGGAGATGAAGAGGTCAGGAGCACTTGTTCCCCTCCTAGCTTTCATCTTTCCTCGCAGGAGCAATGTCATGGGCAATAGGTATTTTAGCATGGCATGGTGCCTGCTTTGGTAATACCCCATCCTCAACCTTGCTGCTTCGTGCCGTGAATATCTCCATCATTTCCGGATCTCTCCATCGTTTCCTGACCAAATATACTCACTTAGCAAAGTAAGTCCCCAAAACTGCCTTGTTCCTATGCCCCCTCCCTCCTCAAAACAAGCCCAAAAGGTGCCAGACCCCCAATTCTATAAACACGGCAGAATTTTACCCTGCAGGTGAGTTACCCCTGAGTGTGGAAAAGCTATAAAAATGAAATGAAAAAGCCTCTCATTTTCACATTACTGCCCGAGCTATCAGCATGCTGGCTCCATGCAGAGTGTGCTTCTGATCAGTAATAATGAGGCGGTGGCAAATACAGGAGTTGGAACAGAAACTGGAAACCTAATCAGCTGCCTATGCGATCCATCAGCTTTCTACCACGAAATAGCAGGTCAATTAAAAGAGAAAGAAAGTCCCCAAAGAATTAGATGTTTCTGCCCTGGTTTCACTGTGCCCACAACAAATGTAACTTAATAAGGTAAATTCAAAAGCTCAGCCATTTGTATCACTCAACAGCAAATAACCAACGAGGAATTGAAGCAACAGATTTCTTTGCTATGGCAGTGTGCATGGAAAATTCAAGTCAGCCTGACCTCTTTTTTCAGATGTAACCCAGATACCAGAATTACTGTAGCATAATAGGAATTCCTTCCAAATCCACAAAGCACTGACTCCGCTCCTTTCGCTCACAATGTTTGCCTTCGCAAGGCAGGACAGCGGTTATGAGGACTTCCAGGGAGCTGGCGTTTTGGATGGCACAGCCAAAATTTCACGCCCTTGCTTTACGTGGCGTCGTGGGCAGTCTAGCCCAGGGTAAAAGGTCCAGGTCATGTTTTAAATAGCTTGAGGACACACAGAGTGCTCATTAAGTAAACGGCAGAGGCAAAGACCTTTGCTTCGATCAGGATGTGAGAGGATGTGCATTTGGTTTTAATACCTATATATTTACTGACTTTAGGCAAATTTCCATGCAGATGACCCTGGAGAGGCTTGTGTCCCTGAGCTGTGTGCTCTCACATCTCTCCTGACTGCTCTTCCTGCTGGAAGTTGGTTAATTTGATCATCTTGGGCACAGAAGCATGTTGATGATCCGCAGGATGGCCAGGGGAAGGTGACATTTTCCTCTTCCTAAGCCTCATGCGGGTACCGCTGCTGAGCCCCCTGTGTCCCCACACCGGACAGGTCTTGAAAGCCTGTGAAAAATACCTAAGAAAATTAATTTCTTAGACTAAGTTACACAGCCAGATTAGCTGATTGTTTTACAGTTGAAGGTGATATGCTTCAATGTGATTAGACACAGAGAATGATACACCAGAGATGTAAGTGATTAGAAAAGGTCTAAAAGTAATTACAGGCTAATTGGATTGCTGGTGATACCTTATGATAATGATAAAATGGGCATGAGAACCAAATGTCTGCAAAAGACATTTGCAGACAGAAAAGTTTGATATTAGCTTTAGTGACCATCTTTCCTAAATGTGTGTGAGTGTCCTCCAGGAGCTGTGCCCATCACATAGGCATGGCATGTGTGCCATGTGGCTGGCTCGCCAGAAATGCAAGGCATAAGAAGAGCTTAATATCTTTAAGACTTTTTTTTTCAGGCTGTCTTTTCAGTTCATGCACATCTACGCTGCATTTGTTTTTCACCGTCCTGCTTTATCTGGGATGGCACTGCCAAAACAAGTTTACCCAATTTTTGGCTTCTTATTAAGGTTGAGCCATGGCTCTAACTAAGCTGAAAGGGTTCATGGCTGCCCAGCAGTGTGTTAGTGAGGGAATGAAGTCTCCAATTTACAATCTGCTACATGTGTTCAATTACCCAGACCACCAACGGTGAGAGAAAAATATTAATCCCCAGACTTTTGTTGGTCACATGCCTTTCCCAGGCCAAGAACCTCGGGTTTACGTGGATTTGTTTGAGTTTGGAGTAAGGGCACATCCGCCGGTATCAGATGTTGTCCTTAATTCAGCTCATCTCCCCTCTGCAAAAGCCATGAGTTTTAAGCCTCATGGCTCCCCTTCTTGTGAATTTAGGCTTTTGGGAGGCTGCAGGCGGTGGCTGTGCCCTCGTGCAGCAGCATCCGTGTCCATCCAGGACATCCTGCAGTTGCCTCCTACCAGAGGAGCAGGAGATGCTCCAACCTTCCTCTGCTGTTCTCATGCCAGTAGATTTCCTGGCTGCCAGCTTGTGCTGGAAGATGGTCCAAACTGGAGATAAACCATGGTCTTTGGAATCTGAGAGGATTAAAATGATCCTGGAGCCTGTTAGCTGCAGCTCCCCAGACAACTCTTGGTCACAACCAGATTTCTAAGAGTAAATCTCAGCGGTGACATGTAAATCCCAAATGATGGTGCAGCCACCCAACGTATTTCTGTGCATGGTAGCAGAGCGCTCTAACTTGGCCTTTATTTTTTATTATTATAGTTGTATCTCTCTTTGATAAAGCCTGCTTAGCTGCAATTTCAGCTGCCTTAGGTCAACCTTAGTTTTTTCAAGCCACGGTACGAGTGAGTTCAAACAATGATTACAGCTTCATCTCCTCTTAGTCTAATTGCCATACTTTTCCAGTTTATTAGTTTCCAAAGGTTGTGCCAAGCTTTTAAAAAAGGTAGGCAGGGGAGCCTTGTCTCCTGCATGCTGCTGGCAGGCTGCCACGCAGGGAGGAATATTGCTGGCTGCTCCAGAAAGGGATTAACATGAAGGCATTTTTCCTGACAGTTAATTTTACGTATCACAGTCCTTGTGACTAGAGAGGGGCAGGGATGAGGAGGTGGCCGAAAAAAATCCCGCCTCAATTTATTACTCAGGTATAAAAGTATTTAAAGTAATGAATAAAATCCTAAAGCTGTAAATCTGGAGCTCAAAAACTAGTTGTGTAATGTGACGGAGAACAATTTAAGCCTTTGCCTCTTTGGGAGAGGTGAGACATTTGGACTTCATTTCACAGCCTGATTTTCATTAACCCACCTTTTAAGAGTCGGGATTATGAGAAGTCAGGTCCTCTGCTCCCTGACTGTGATTTATGGCGATATTGTCAAACACCAGCACCCCTGTCACAAGAAATGCATAATTTGCTGCCATGCAATGGCAAGACCCCTTGAAATGCCCAGAAATACCTGGCATTTACGGAGGCTTTGAGCAGCTTGAATTGGGTCTGGTGGCAGGAAATTTTGGGCCAGAATCTGAAAAGTTTTGGGCTTTCTGAGTCTTCCCCTGTTGCGTTCATGGTTTTCAGAGAGGAAGATAAGCAGGTTGTTCATTTGTTTTCCTCCAAAATCAGTTTGATAAGAGGGTAATGGATCTGGCCCCTCCTTCCCAAACACACACTAATTCTTAATCTGGTTTATGTTAATTTTTTTTTTTTACACTATGCTGGTATAGATCTGGGGTACTATTTCACTTCTGTAAAGATATACCAACACGCTAAACCAAAATCTGGCTTTATTCTTTCTTCTTGTTTATTGAATTTTTCCACAAAACAACATTTCGAGCAGTTCAGTCTCTTCTTAGCAGGGAAGAGGAGGAGGATGGAGAGACACTGGGCTATGGGCTCTCCTTCCTTGCTGTGGAGGCAGATTCCTGGTTTGAGATGCCCAAAGCACCAATTGCTGTGTTGGCCCTGCATTTGCCACCCGTGGCTGGTTTTACACAGCATCTTTCCTGCTCTCTAACCTCTCTGTTGCATTTCCCCCACAGATTATAACGGGAGAGCTCTACCGCATCCACTACCTGAAGGAGAAGTCGCGCTCCTTTATCCAGAATCCCTATGTGGCTGCTCTCTACAAGCAGGTGGGCTGCTTCGTTTTCGGCTGTGCCATCAGCCAGTCCTTCACAGACATTGCCAAAGTGTCCGTCGGGCGCTTGCGGCCACATTTCCTGGAAGTTTGCGATTTGGATTTCTCCACCATCAACTGTGCTAAGGGAGTTTACATCCAGAACTACACCTGCAGGGGAAGCGACAGCAAGGTCCAGGAAGCCAGGTGAGAGCCCGTGGCATCAAAGTGATGGGTTGCTGCCACCAAAACGGTGTCTCACACTGAATATGTCTTAGGGTTTCTCTGCCAGCAATAGATGATGCAAATGCTGCTTTCTCTGCGAAGGCTGTAACTCCATCTGCCAGTAACGGGCAGTTTCCCTCTGGAATTGTGGGACTCGGCTGAATAATATTTCTTTTCCTTTCTCTTTACTCCTACACTATTGTTTCCGTGATTGGTTGCTCAATGTGGGAATTCACCGTAAGAGCTGAGCTCATGGTGAGCAGCTCAAGCTGTTCCATGCGGCAGAGCAGAGGGCTTCTCCTCCAAGGAGGCTCCTCCCCTTCAAGCTGTCTATCAAATCCATCAGATGTCAAAACTGAGCATTTCCAGGGGTTTGTTTCACATGCTGCAATTAAGCGACCGGAGAAGTTGCTCACTTCTTATTTCTTTATGGTTTCCTGGTTATTTGAGGCGAGACGATGAGTTATCGGGCTATCCTGGAAATAACTGCTGTCCCACAAGTAGACCAGGAAGAGACGAACAATGCGAGCATCCTGTCCATCCGTTCGCTTTCTGCCTTGCGAGTGAGCGGGGTGGATAACAGGGGTTTTATAACCCGAAAGATTGGGGGTTGTGGGTCCCTCTGCTTTGGGACCCTCTTGGTAGCAGCAGGCAAGTCACCATATTACATGTAAAATTATAATACCGAAGACTATGGTGGCTGGTTCTTAGCACCTGCTTTGTTTTGCAGGAAATCCTTCTTCTCCGGGCACGCATCCTTCTCCCTCTACACCATGCTGTATTTGGTGGTAAGTAACCTCAGCCTTGCTTGAGATTGAGCTGATTTATGCCCTGTCCCACTTTCCTGAGGCACTCACCTGCCTCCAGTAGCAATAACAGCATGATGAGCATTGGAGATAGAGGTTCGGTTGAAAAAAAGAGCCTGAACAAGTGGTGGAAAGATCCGCTCTCAGCCCCTGTGGTGTTATTTGGGATGGAGACTCCTGGGGTGACAGCTGAGCTGTGCAACTTTGGGATGTAGTCAAGGCTGCAATTAAATCCGAATCCTACTAAATCTGTGGATGACCTGTGCGATTTTGTTCACCCCACGTTGTGGTTTCTACTGGGGAGAGTTTGGGGCGAGCCAAAATGTTGCATCGATGGAAGGGGAAGATGTGCTCTCGTGGCTCTGTTGGGGGGTGAAGGCTGGTTCCCAAATGTGCCAGTGGAGCAGGTGGAGCAGCCTCTGCCTGCCTGGATCTGGAGTAGAGGGCTGGGACTTGTTTTTCTTTGTCAGTGAGAAATGGGTCTACCCTTCCTGCGCCGGGGCCGGGGCCGGGGTGGCTGCCAAGGTGCTTCCTGCCAGGGCTGCGGGAGGCACGCTGCCCGCACCCCCAAGGGCCTGGACACGCACGCAGCATGTTGGGAGGATCTGGATAGTGATTTGTTTTCCTTTTTTTAATTATTTAGTTTTTAAAAAATCAGGAAAAAAGGTTTTGGATTCAAAGAAACAGCATGGCACTGATACAAACATTAAACGTGCTTTTATCTATGAGCAGTGCTTTTCCCCCATCCCTTTACTTTACCCTCTGAAAAGATAAGTGACGACTGCTTCCTCCTACCTTTTCAGCCCTGGATCCCCCCTCCCAGTGAGCAAATTTCTGTAATTTAATTACTAAGCTTTCCAGGCTGTTGGGGGCAGCGTATTAAATTCTTTCCTCATTTCCCCCCCCCCCTTTTTTTTTTTTTTCTTGGAAAACTTCTGAATTTCTTCAGTAAACATTTTGGCCGCTTCCTCCCAGCTGTGTTACACTGCAGAGCCACCCTGGCAATGCTTTGCAGGAGGCTCAGCCCTCCACTGCTGCCATCGCAAAACTTTCCAAGCTGAGTTTGGAAACCATCGCTCGCACTGGCATTTATTTATTTCCAAGGAGATCTGCAGGCAGTCAGATAAGTCAGCCCCGACATACTTTCAAGCCTGGTATCTGGAAACAGTGAGGACTGCCAGTCCCTATTAAGTCGGTGGTGGTTTCTCTTGAAATACTCAGCAAGATTTGGGTTGTCCTTCCAGGTAATTTTTTAGGAGATGCTGCTCCTGGGCCTTTTTGGAAGCCAAGGCCGATGCTTTACCTTTTGCACAGGACCATGCCCTGCAGCATCCATCAGGGTAGGCGACAAACCTGGGGGACTGTGCCCAGCTGGGCAAGCGCTCACCCCCTCTCTGCATTTCCACCTCGCTCACTTCGGCAGTGGCTGCCCAAAGTCACCAGGCTTGACCCTGTTTCCGCAGGGCGCCGTGCAGACCATGTTGCTTTGCCAGATTTTTTCCTTGTTTTTCTGAAAAGCCAGCGGTTACAGAGCAAGCAAGAAATGAAAGAGCCTGTGGCAGCACAGCAGGAATGCCGGTGTCTGGGGGGCCAGTGGCAAGAGGTGCACTGGAGACCCCAAAACTGCTTTGCACCAATGCCTGCTGCCTCATTTTCTTTTTAACATCACAGCAGGCTTCAAAAGTGGCATTTAGCTCCTTTTTCGGAACAGAAAGCTGTCTTTGATCTCTCTTTGCTGCCCTTCCCCATCCCCATATGGGAGCACTCGGGCTATCAGCAGCCTCTGCCCTTCTCCCTGTCTGGTCTGGCACAACAGGCTGCTCCACTTATCCCCCTCCATGGAGGGGTTTTGACGCTAATCCCTTAAGAATTTTTTTTTTTTTCCTTGTCCCAAAACTGGGATAAGGTTGGTAGCAGGCTCCATCTGACCAGGTGTTCAGTTGCCTCGTGCCTTAAAAAGTCAGGGGAAAAATTACACCAAGTATTTGGTCATAAATTGAAGGGAGAAAAAGGCAACTTGAGACAAGACAGTGTGACACAGTGCATATCGGAGGTGAGGAAATGATCTTAAGGCTTTTCCAACAGGCAACTTGAGACAAGACAGTGTGACACAGTGCATATCGGAGGTGAGGAAATGATCTTAAGGGTCTTTTCCAACCTAAATGATTCTATGATTCTAACTTGTCTCGCGGCACTCTGTCCTCCATGACTCCAGCTCCCTGGCCACTGCCAGAGCCTGAACGAGAAATCTCCTAGAAAAAGGGAGGCAGAAAATCTGTCATGTTGGAGAGGCTGATAATACCCCAAAATAATTAGAACAAAAAATAAAAAAATGAGGTTATAATAAGCCAGAGAGATTTTATTTAATGCAAAATAAACCCCACTGTCTTGCCCAGCTGAGTGATTGAGTGGGCTTTTGGAAGCCTGGTTAGAAACGTGGCATCTGCCATACCAGCACCTGCAGGAGGTGGGTTTGATGGATTTAATGAAGGAATCATCTCAATCAAAACAAAATGGTTGTTCTCTGGTTCCTGGGAAGCGAGGGCTGTGCCACAACAGGTTGTTGCCAGCACTTTGGGTACTGGGAGTTTGCCAGGAGCCTTTGCAGAGTGGGGGTGTTTGTGGGGCTGAGCGCGTGCTGCAGAGGCTTGGCTGATCAGCCGCGTCCTGAGTGCATTCCCTATTGAACAATACTTCATATTTCAAGGATAAGTCACTTCCCGTCTTTCCTGGCATTCCCTGGCTTCACTCTTAGAGCCCATTCTGAATTACAGTGTTTTCAAGTTTGCCTCACCTGATGGAGACGGGTGCCAGAAAGCTTTAGTCGGTCTATTAAAAGATACCCGGATTCCCACGCATCCCACAGGGCTTTGCCTGCACCGTGGGGATGGATTTGCCTGGGTGTTTGGTGGCCAGTGGATGGGTGACCACAACTTCCCTGTTGCCTGGCACACAGCAGTGCCCTGCAGTATCCATCAAGGAGAAGCAGTTTGGCCGTGGGCTCCCGGTAGGAAAACGCGGATAGATGTCAAGCCCCAGAGGGCTTTGGGGGAAAAGTCTCAGGGTAAGGCACTTGCAACACAGTAAAATCTCCTGGGATGTAGTTCTAAACACTGAGACTTCAGGGCTCAGTTTTTCGCAGCTTTCTTGTCACCAAGAATACCCAATTAACATCAGACCTTTGTATAAAAAATTTAAAAGGGGAAATTACGCTTGGGTAATCCTCTTTGTCTTAATTTTCCTTGCTTTGTTACTCCTTGGCTGAGCGAGCCCGTAATACATATTTATAGCAGGCTGAGGAAAGAGGAGGTATATCACAGCTTATTCCACGCAGCCCTCTGGACCTGACCCACACCTCTCGATTTTGTTTTGCTGGATGTGGGGAGCCTTTGCAGAGAGCGATGGGGGCTTTCCGCTCCCCTCAAGCACATGAGACCATAATGCTGATTTTTTTTTTTTTTTATGGCATGAAGTTGCCTGAAACCACACAGAGGATGCAGAAAAACTAAATTAATGTCAGAAAAGCTAAATTAATACCCCTCAGCAATGTTGGCTGATTCTGGATAAAAGGGGAGTAAAACAGGGCTGCTCGTGTATTTAATGTGTGTTGGTGGATGAGGTTGAAGACTTCAGATCAGAATGTGTTTTAGTGTGTTCTACTCATTTATATGAACAATTAGAGATGTTGCCGGTTTTGTGTATCTGGGTGAGCGTGAAGCTTTGCACTGGGGTTTCTTGCTGAAGGGTGGAGAAGGTCCCAGTGCCCTCATGCTGCTGAGCAATGATGTGACTGTGTGAAGGAAACTGCGTGGTGGTTGTGGACTTGGAGTCAAGTTTAGCGGTGACGCAAATAAACTGGAATTACATCAGAGGCCAGGGCTGAGGTGTGAACTGCGTTGCTGAACTGATGGGGATATTCCTGATGGGGTGGGAGGATGCTGTACACCCAGAAAAGGCAGGGAAGAGGCAAACAACGCAGCCCTTTGGTGCTGGGAGGTCTTTGCCCTTCTCCTGTCCTGTCCCCTGACCATCTTGGTGCTAATAGCCGAATTCTGCAGTTCCCCTTCCTCCAGCTGGCTTTGCCCAGCCAGGGCAGTGTGTTACGCCGGGGTGAGTTTGGATTTGAGGGGTTTTGGCCCCATACCGTTTTGGGTACTGCTCTGTTTGCAGATGGGGCTGGAGATGGAGGTAACTTCAGGTCAGACAGCCAGAAACAAGACCAGCCATTTCCCAGAAGGAAACCTTAGCTGTGACTAAGGGACGTGGTTGATGGAGTTCAGCCTTGCGGTGGTGAGAGTGTGAACAGGACGGGATTTCTGCGTGGCAGAAAGCCCTGGGAGGCTGGAGGTGATGCTTTTAGCCCGTGTCCCCTGCCAGCTCCTCCTCGATGGGTTTGCTCAGGGGTTGTGTGTGGCCGCAGGCTGTCCCCATCAGCACTGTGGAAGTCCCCTGGCAGAAGAAGAGCGATGTGATGTCCTTCAAGCCATCTGCTTTGTGGTAACTTGGCCTTTGCCAGGAAACAGTGGATGGGAGCTCCAAATAACTCCTGCTCTGTGTGATCCCGTTTCACTTCATCTGCACTTGCTCCTGTTGATGCTCCTCCTGACTTTCGCTGCCCTGTGATGGTCTGTGGTGGAAATAACCATGGTTGTGGTCTTGACCCTCCATCCCCTCCCAGGAAGGGCTCCATCCAGCCCCACGTTCCTAACCAAATCTGGCAGTCCTTAGCAGGCGGCACTTCACATTTGCTGCCAGGTTTCAAAGAAAACATTCAAAAGCAGGTTTTCAGATAAATTGCCAGGAACTTCCCATTTCTTAGTAATAGCACTAATTCCTGTTTTAGGGAAATTCTGATCCTTTCAGCCCCCAAGCCCCCCTTTTGCTTTTTGACCTTCTCTTATTAACTAGGTTTTTCTTTCATACTGAAGGCAGAGGCAAAGTTTGGAGCACTCCAAGGCTTGCCTTTAATGTACTTAGGGGATCCTCAGCACCCTGGTGTTTGAGCACAGTTTTTGACGTACTGCATGCTCATGTGTCTGTGGAATATGAAAAGTGCGGTTATCCTCTCTTTTCCTTTTTTTTCTTTATGAATAGGGAACTAAAGAGCAATTTTCCAAGACTTCTATTGTGGCAGTAAAAGGAGCTCAGTCGAGATCCTCACACTGATAGTGCGGTGTCTGAGATGCATCTATTCGGGCGGGTTTTATTCCTCCAAGATATGCAGGTGTGAGTTGGGTGCTGGGGACTTGGGTGGCACCCAGCACACTCCGTACAGTGCCACAGTGCCATGCTGCCTTTGCACACCTTTTCTAGGGCTAAAGTGTGTAGATTAGGCACACAGTTCAGAGCTGTGCTTTGGAAGGAGAGAGTCAGTATGCAAACATGTTTATTTTTTAATCATTTCAGCTCCAAAAGTGTCTGCTTTATTGTGTGTTCAAACTCAGGGTTAGCTTTTTATTCCCAATTTTTAATTGATACTTTGCTTCCTCACCTATAGATGACCTATTTAGCCCAAGCTTGTGGGATGGAATGGTTTGAGGGGATGTCAAGGCTGTGCAAAAGGGACAAATGTCAGACTATCCAGCAGCAAATTTCTTTCTTAAGAGGTTTGACGTGACAGATCCTAAAACTAAAGTAAGATGGTAGGTTTCAAGCCTTCCTGGTAGAACTAAGAGTAATAGTTTATAAGATATAATGGAGCTATAAGATATATGGAGCTATAAGATATAATTGGAGCTAATTTTGCTCTGCAACAACATACTGGAACCTGAGTTTTGCGCTGTCTCCTGGGCTGGGCTGAGACTCTTGAACATAAAAATAATCCTGAGCCTAAACCATGGCAATAGAAGCATATTTTTATATCTTTTGTGTGCTTTAAAAATGCTACTCTCCACAAATGCTGTTTTTTCAAGGGATATTGTCTCTGCACTGAGAAGTTGTATTTAAAGATATCGGGGCCCCCAGCTCTCTCTGTCACCACCTTCCCTGAATGCTTCCCAGGAGTATCCTGCCTGCACAATTTATTCTCAGTGGCAGATCACTGGGTGCACAAATACCATGGCAATGAAAATTCAGCCAGCCTAAGCATTGCAAACTAAAAATGCAGTTCCCTGCTAATGAACCGCTTAGATATTTGCTTGCAGGATGAAGTGCCTGCTGTTAAATCACTGCAAATGACTGTGCAGGATGGGGTTGTGCTATTTTACAGCTCCAGCTTTCCAGCTCAGTGGTGCTGCGTTTTACCTGGAGGGAAAGCACCTCCTCATTGGTGGTGGTTTTTTGTTATTTTTTTTTAGATCTTTCTGGGCAGGACATGCCTCCTAATTTTGATACGTTGATTGTTGACTCATCTTTCTCCTGAGCATAGAAATTATCATCACAAACTAGAGAACCAGCCCACTGGTCCATTCACTGGGCTACATCAGTGTGGGTTTGCTGTGGGGATCTAGAGATCTGTAACTCATCCCGTAGCGTCGCATGCACAAGTTTGGCTGGTGTGGGGTGTGCGTCGTGGTGACGTGGCTCCGTTCCCAGACTCGGGCTGGTTTGCAGATATATTCCCTAGAATTGTAACGTGCATTAGCCAGCACCAAGCTGTTTTGGTACTGCTGTCTTCCATGTTAATTGGCTAACAATTTGGATAATTTGGAGCATCTGCTCCATTCAAATGACATGATGTTTCATTTCCTCTAAAGAGCCCAGTGTGTGTTCTTTCCAAAAAGGGGTAAATATAATGTTTATGCAACAGCCAAACATACTAAATTGGCCAAAACAATGCTTCCCCCTTATCAGCTTTGCAATTAATTCTGCTTTTATAGGTAAATGGTGTCATTAAGTTATTTGTCGTTTCAGGGAACCCAGCAAGAGCTTCATTCTCTTTTATATCAAGGCAGTGTAAACTGCTCTGGGTGTGTAAAAGGGATCGTAAATGGGTGTTAAACCCCTTTCCAGCCCTCTGATGTTGCAGAGTCCCACAAAGCACGCTGGGTCTGACTTCCAGCGCTTCATTTAGGTACAGGCAGAAAATACCTGCTGTGGCTGAGCCCACAGGCAGTGGGTCTGAGCTGCAGGAGCTGAGCAGCACTTTCCAGGCACTTTTACGCTCTTCAAGTCATCGAATGCCTCTCTCCTCCCCAAGCCTGAAGGTTGCTGTGGTGTGCCTCCCTTCCCACAGCCTTCCTCCCCGCGTTGTGCCCAGCCCCGCTCATCTGTGGGCAGTGGGTTGCCGTTTTCCTGTCCTCTCTTCCCGCCCAGCTTCCCGGTTCCCACAGGAACCGGCTGTGCCCGCCCGCCGAAACGGGAATTGGACCAAGAAAGGGCCCAAAGGTGGTGGGGGGGGGGGATGGGATGACAATATCCACTTGACGTCATGTCAGCTTCGTCTTTTTGGGTTGAGCCAGGACCTTGCTTTTCCCTCGCTGGGTAAGAGCAACTTCCCATGCCATGTGACAGGGCGGCCGCTCGCTTACACCCCTGCAAACAGCGGGGCTCGGGCTGGGAAACGTGATGGCAACATTAGAGGATTGCATTTTGCATCCACATCGTCAGCAGTTGTGGCTGTGTCTGGAAATCCTTGGGGCTGGCTCTGGAGGTGTGGCATGCTGCGTTGATTCCTGTTTTTCCTCTGAGAGATGCTGTGGGTCCTGCGTGCCCCAAATTTGTGACCTTGCTTCTGTTACACGCTAAATAGCGGTAGGGAGGAATTTCCAGGATGTTGTGTGTGACCTTGATGGACTTGGAGGCTGAAACAGGGCTCGGGGGAGAGCCAGGATGCCGGGGGTGCCAAGCTCCTGACCCTGGCTCACTGAGGGAGGGCTGTACCCATCCGCCTCTGCCCGCATCCCCTCTATGGGTTAAAATCCCTCCAGCTCCTCTCCCCTCAGCATGACGGAGGCCACAAGTTTGCAAAGAGCATCTTTCTTCTTTGACAGCTCCCCCTTCCTTGGGCCACGGGGGTACAAGTGCCCCATGGCCAGCCCCACAGAGTGGGTGCTGCCACGCCACGTTTTGGGCACAGCTTCTCCTTTGCTGCCCTCAAATTGACGCAATCTTTTTGTTTTCTTCTCTTCCTCACAGTTTTATCTGCAGGCCAGATTCACGTGGAAGGGAGCCCGCCTGCTCCGTCCCCTCCTCCAGTTCACCCTCATCATGATGGCGTTTTATACCGGCCTGTCCCGTGTGTCGGACCACAAGCATCACCCCACTGATGTGCTGGCGGGCTTTGCACAGGGAGCCCTGGTGGCTTACTGTGTGGTGAGTACAGCAAACCGTGCAAGGAATGGCAGCGGGGATGCTGGTGGGGGTCCCAGGGGAATAGCAGGCACCTCCCCAGCCCATGCTGCTGTGAGCTCATGTAACACCCCATTACAGGTGGGGACGTGGCAGGAGGCAGCGTGCTCTGAGGGCTCGGTCTAGTGTCATCCCCACGTGACAGCGCATGTAAACCTCGTTTGCAGGTGGAGTGCAGCTCAAGAGTGGAGCACCCTACCAGCCCAATGATGGGTGCTCTGATGGACACCCGGCAAAGGACGGCGCACCTGCCAGCGCTTTCCCCTCCCCATGAGCAAATGCCACTTCTGTGCTGGAGGGGTGAAGCAATTCCTCTTGTACCCCACCAAACAAACTGCATATTCAGCAAAAAATGCAACGTTTAGGGTTTTTCCCCATCAGCCTTGAGCTCCTGGAGGCTCCTGGGCAAAGGGCCCCTTTGCCCAGGCAGCTAGGGGTGCTGAAAAGGCGTTCAGACAAGGGAGAGTGTTTCCCTCTCGGCTAGCAGCATTCGCTTCTCCATCTGCTCTCAGTAACGAGCACCGGCTCGTTTGCAAGGCTTTCCGCCAGGATCCAAGCGGGGAGTCTGGGTGGCTGGGATTATGTCTCTTCCCTGCACAATCCAGCCAAAAGCCGTCCCCTGGGAGCGGGAGCTGGTGTCTGCCCAGCGAGGGGAGGCAGGGTGCCTCGTTTGGTGGTGGGTTTTTAATGTAGCGAAAGGGCTCGTGAGAAAATGGTGAACAAAAGCCGTGCCTGCTTGTCTTCGGCTGCTGGGCTTGTTCTCATGCAATTTGCTTTCTAAAGAGTGACCTGATTGCGCAGCCCTGTAATTCGAAGTGACAAATGTAGATGTTTAAAGTAGGCAGGGTGGGGGGCACCAGGTTGGGTGGCTGCCTTGCATAGAAACAAAGGGGCTGGGAGTTATGGTTGTTCCTGTGTCTGTACAAACTCCTGAAAGCAAGATTTTAACAGCTTACCACTTTCTTGGGGTTTGGGTTTTTTTGTTTTTTGTTTGTTGGGGTTTTTTTTAACTGATCTAAAAGTAAAGCAGCCCTGGAGGCAAGGAATTAAGTTCGCTGATGTTATATTTTGCAAGGAGAGAAAATAGGTTATTTATGTACTTTCCACTCATTCATAATATTCCAAAGCCAAGACAAAAATGTCATCGTTGGGAAGTTTTGATGAAGTATTATTAACTCTCTGAGCAGTAGCTGTTGGGTTTTGCCATTGCCTGATACCAATGTCCCACACGGGGCTGGCAAATTCAGAGGGGGAAACTAGAGAAGTGTGTGTGTGCACAGACACGTGCTGCTGCTGCTGTAACGCTTGCTCGCAGCAGCAGCGTTACAGGTCCTGCACCCCTCATTCCAGTATTGTCAGGGTGTTTCTCCAAATCCTGGTAATCTTTTCCTATCCCAGCAGTCAGCTGTAGTACCGCAATGGCAGTGCTGGCAGCCCTGGGGAGAAAAGGCCCTGGGCCACGCGGGGAGCAATGAAGCAGCTTGTCTCAGTCCAGGTGCCTGAATTTGTATCGTGTGGGTTTGTTGAGGCACCAAGTGCACATCACCAGGTGGTTTTACAAGGGGGTATTTACCTCTCTGGTGTGCCTTTCAGCTTGAGAGGTGGGATAACAGCAATATATACAGGGGGAGTAGGGACCAGGTGATCCATCCCTGGATCCCAGCAGTGGTTTCAGAAAGGCAATAGCTCTCTGGATGCTTGGGACGGGCATCTGGATGCTTCCTGTCTGGGATGAGCAGCAGGGCTGGCCATCCCCTCCCGGCCCTCTGGCAGCTGGAAGCTGTGCTGGGAAGGGGAGGCTGTGGCAGCACTGGGCTGGTTTTCCTGTGTTGAGGTGAACCGAGGTAGGAAGCAGCTGTCTGGAGTTTCACAGGCAGGCTGGGGTTTGCCTGTGAGCCTGGGGCAACCTGCACTACTCTTCCCAGCTGGCTTGTGGAGGGGGCAGTTGTCTCCAAACCCTTTGCAGGCATGGCTTGGTGGCTGGGGACATCTCAGGCAGCAGCTTAGGTCTCGGGGTAGGGTTTAAACCCAACCATTGTCCCATTTTGCTAGCTTGCAAAGAACCATCAATATGTTCTTGTTCTCCCGAATCTGGCTTTGCTGGCATGAGCCATCGCCTAGGAGGGGCCAGCAGACTTTCCTCCCTTTTGGGAGAAGACAGCAAGGGACAAGAGGAAGAGTCACCCCGAGACTCCCTGGCGTTTGCATTGAATGTATAGTTTAGCAGCTTTATGCTAAAATTACTGGTATATCAGAGCAATTACTGGTATGTCCTGGGGGTCCTTGCCCAGCTCTGGGATCCAGCTTTCGTGCACGGGATGCTCTGAAGCAGAGGGAGGGACCTGGAGAGTCATCACCTCCAACCCACCCTGGGTGCTCCCAGACACCCCTTCCCCCAGCAAAGCCTTCAAGAGTCCACTCTGATGATAGTCAAGGGCTGTTAAAATACCATAGTTATCAGGCTGTAATTTTCAGTAGAAACGAATTGTGGGTTTCATCTCTGAGGGCTGCCAGAGCTTAAATCCAGGTTGTGCTGCAGCAGACACGTTTGTCCTTCAGTGCCTGAAACAACAAGTAGACATTAGTGTCAAGCACTTCCAGCTGATGAAACATTCAGAGTCAGATCCAGGGTGAAATATGATGAGGATTTCTTAACTGGAAATAGTTTTTATGCGCGTTGTAGGCAGCCTGCTATGTGTCGTGTAGTTTATGTCTCATCTGATGGAGAGAGAAAAGGGGAGACATCGGAAGGACATGCTCCTGGTGTCGCTCTGGTTAGCTTAGATGAGTTGTTTTAACCTCTCTGTATGTGGTTAGAGTTCTTCAATATAATGAAAAGGAATAGGGATTGTTAAGTGGCAATATAAGATATTGGCTTACTTTGTATAATACGCACTCAGTCTTCTGCCGTCAAGTTTTCTTTATGGGTGGAGAGCACCTTCTACAGGAAATGGAGCTAATCCAAGTGAAAAACTTTGCACGTTTATTAGTCCTTTTTTGTGTTAAACAGTTCAAGCATTAGGAGGATTTAACACACTATTTTAACCGCCAAAGATCACGTTTCATGATTCCTGTAAGTGTTTATATAACCTCCAGCCATGTTAGTGAAATACAGTTTAAAGAGAAATGAAACCTCTTAGTCTCTGAATTAAACCCTGAAAAGCAGCGAGCAGCACAGTAAAAGCTAAAATACCCAGGATGACACTCCACCATAACTCATTCCTGTCCAAAATAAGGACCAGACTCGGTGTAATCCCCATATGCTTCTTGCACCATAAATTGATTTGTCATGGCTATCTTGGTGCAGAAATTGGACATCTTTTTGATTGAATCCAGCTCTCTGAGGTGGGCAAGTGAGCGAGATGGCATCAGAAATGCACCGAGCCAGCCGAATGGGAGTTTTTTACAGTTATTAACGACCCAAAAGAAAACCATTGCCAGAGCAGTTCAACACTGTGATGCTGCAGCAAGAGGCCGGGCTCCAGCTTGTGATCCTTGGTGGGTTCAGCTGGATCCTGTTATTTAACCAAAGGCACAAACACTGCCACTTGGATGCCCTGTAAACAACTTTATCAGCTCTGTTATACAACTAGGCAGCCAGACACCAACACATACACTGAAAAGAGAGCTGTTTTATATGTCAGCTCCTTCCCTGCTTTTCCACGAAGCAATAAAAGCTGAGCAACAACAGCTCAGTTTCCTGCATCCCTGGTTATAATTGTAGGAGTAAATTGCCACTTACAGCAGGTTCACTGTCTGTTCAGCTCAGTTCCTTATCTGCCTGTGCTGATAGGGACTTGCAAAAGTTGTTTCCAAGGATGACTAGACCTGCTGCATAGGGCTCTGGGTAGCTAGAAAATGTGGAGATGCAGAGGGGAAAACCTTTGCTCCCTCCCCGTGTTACCCAGCCTGGACGTGCTAATCTAATATTTTTCCTTTGAGCACCTTGGACTTATTTTTTTCCCCTGATTTATCTTGTTGCTTAAATGTTGCATCCGAGTACTGTGGGAGAACACTCAAACGTGCTGCTAATTCCTACAACAGCGTGCTGCTCCTCCTAGGGCTTTGGCTCAGCAAACCCACAGCTCGGTCTGAATTGTTGGTGCTTAAGGATGTCTGAGATGAGCCGGCAAATTTGGGCTGGCAGAGGCAGTTGGCGGCAGGACCGAAGTTTGGGGCTTTGGTGCCAGCTAACAAAATGATGAGTCCTCACCACTTTTTGCCCCATCCAGAGGATCCGCGCTGTCTGGCTCTTTTCCTTTCTGGTGTGGGGCTGAGTTTTGGCAAGGGAGAAAGTGCCCCGGTCCTGGAGGACCGATAAGCTTTGTGCAGCAGCTGCCAAGGGAGGATGTGGAAGTTTCCTCCCAGCACTTTGTTTCTTATTGTGTTGCTACCTTCCGAAATTGCCAAGCGCTGGCTTTTTCACATCCGGGAGAGGGGTTACATCACGGGATATTTAGGAAGAAGTAGTCAGGAATAGGGCCTCCTCTCCTTAGGCTTTGGCTTCAGGACCAGACTCCGGCTTTGTACCGGTGCCTTGGTGGGGCATGAGGAGAGCATCGCTCACCGTTGACTCATTGCTGATAACTTTTAATACGGCTTTGATTTGAAAGCTTTTAATTGCCTACCTGATGTCTGGCTGAATGAATTGTTTCACACCAACTCCATCCCTAAAACCACTCACCATGAGTCAGGCCAGCCCTTTGGAGACCTTTGTTATTTTATTGGAGTGTGGACCGTGTATCTGTTTCCTGGCTTTTCAACCCGTTCAGCAGAGGTTTGGGTATTGCGCTCAGTGATTATGCAGTGAGAAATTAAATTGTTCTGTAATGTTTTCACTCTGTGTTTTGTGAGGTCTGAGCCTTTTTCCGTATTGTACAGAAAGGTGGTAGCAGGCGCTTGGGATTTCACAGCTATCAGTCTTACGGGCAGGCATTCAATAGCACAAAAAGTGCTATTTTTGCAGCTTAAAGATATGTATATACTCTGTAAACCAAATTTTTGAATAAAGCATCACCCAGTGTGGCTAAGTTTGCCTTTTCCACTTATTCCTACAGGTGTTTTATGTCTCGGATCTCTTCAAGCCCAAGACAAAGACTTGCCTGCCTCCACCACCCATCCGGAAGGAGATCCTTTCACCTGTGGACATCATTGAGCGGAATAACCATCATAACATGGTGTAGACCTTTGAGATATCGGATGGGTGTTATATTTTATTTTAATTTTTTTTTTTTGCAAAAAATGACTGCTGACAGCAACTACCTGCTGCTCTCAAATCTCATCAGACAGTAGAATGTAGGGAGAGACTTTCTTGCCCGACCAGTAAAGTCTTACTCTGTGGTCTTTTCAACTTGCGACATTTGGATGAAAGGGGTGGTGATCAACTAAGTCAAAAGCGACAATGAGAAAATAAAATAAAAAAACAAAAAACAAAAGCCGAACAAACAAAGAGAGGTGCCGGAGTTCTGGATGTGCAATTGGTTTGAGTGTTCATGTTGTAGTGAACGCCAAATTGTTCATAGCCTAATGAACACTAAGGGATTTTTGGAAAGCTGGCCATCTTAGGTTTTTTTACTATGAAGATTTCCAATGCCTGCGAGGAAAAAAAAAAAAACCAAACAACTCATGACTAAATTGTATAGCACTATATACGAGAAACAGCACTGAGTCAAGATCTGGGATTGGTTTGTAAGAGTTGCTTTTTTCTCCTTTTGATACTAGTTTATTTTTGCCTCCTCTATTCCATACTGTGACTTAGTTTAGAAGAAGCTTGCCCAGTCAAAGATCTCCGAAGGGTCTCTGTTCACACAACACGCCTTTAACGAGCAGTCCTGAGACATGCAGTGAGGCTGAATATCTCCATCCTCCGTGCAGAGAAGCCACATTTCTTCCTCTATGCTTGCTCCCTGACGAGGGTTCGTCCTGCCTGAGCCCCCAGGCATGTGCAGCACCCACAAATGGCCCTTCATGAAAAGAGCATCCTCCGCTTCCCGGCCTTCCCCCCAAAAAAATCGCAGCAGATTTTCTGCGCACCTGCGGGAGCTGGCGGTTTGCAAGTGGGTAGCGGCAGCTCTGCCGAAGACGTGTTCGCACTACGACCTCGGGGCTGAGTCCCGGGGAAACTTTTATTCTGCAGTTTCGGGACGGGCTGCTGGGCGGCACGTCCCAGCCTGGGTGTCAGTCGGTTTGTGCGTTCCCCCCTGCTCCTTCTCCCTTGGGCACGCCGGTGCACGCCATGGCAGAGCTCTGCCGAAGACGTGTTCGCACTACGACCTCGGGGCTGAGTCCCGGGGAAACTTTTATTCTGCAGTTTCGGGACGGGCTGCTGGGCGGCACGTCCCAGCCTGGGTGTCAGTCGGTTTGTGCGTTCCCCCCTGCTCCTTCTCCCTTGGGCACGCCGGTGCACGCCATGGCAGGTACCAGGTCCTGTGCTCCGCTCGGTGACACCGATGGTAAATCAGACGTGCCTGTATCGA